AGGTGTCTTCTTATTTTTCTGTAGAACAGGTGTCTTCTTATTTTTCTGTAGAACAGGTGTCTTCTTATTTTTCTGTAGAACAGGTTTCTTCTTATTTTTCTATAGAACATACCACAATTGCGCCATTTTGCTTACGTATAGGAATAAGTCGAGGGAGAACAATCACGTTGGTTTAAGTCCGCTTACAAGAGTAATCAGAATAAATTCCTTGCCAAATTTTCTTCCTTTTTCGGCCCACGAGGGATGACTTGGGAGAGGCATTTCCATTTTGATGAAACGCAAGAGACCATGAAGGCCATTTTTAACTCCAAAATATTCCAGACAAAGTCTTGCCTCTTTTGCTGAAATCGAGTAATTATGCTGATTCCAAAAGCGAGACCGTTCATCACACTTAAGGGGTATTAATATTTAAAACCACCTGACATGTCCATGCATATTAAGGAGCTTCCCTTCCCCTCTGCTTCCCTTGAAGAACAGATCTTCGCAATCGAAGATTCTCACAACAGCGGAATGAATTCTTTTAAAATATTCATGTCGTTACTTAATTCTATTTTACTTCTGTAAAGTATTTCTCTTTCACTTTTCTAAAAGACTATAATTTAACATCCGCCATTTTAACTCAATTCATAGTTAATGAGCGATGCATTATATGAAAAGGTATTTAAATTCTTCGTTTAATGGTAAGAATTACATCGTAATGCAAGTTAAAGGAATTTGAAATAAAAGCTAAAACGCGGAGACTCGTCAAGATTCCGAGTTCGAATTTTTTGACGATTAAATACTTTCTCTTTGTATATTTCGTATACGGGAAAATAAAAAGGCGGGTGAGTGTACGTGAATGAAGTCCAATAAACAGGATAATAAAAAATGACTCTTTATTCCAAGAATAAAGTAGGAAAAGCACGTAACACAGGTAACAAAACTAAACAGCACTTTTATAAATTAACCCTCCGTTAGTCCAGCAGTGTACAGGTACCCCCATTAGTTTTCAAAACACTTCGCTTTAAATTCCATTCATTGTTTAGAGATCAAACTTTCAGTACCTGTCCTTGAAATACTCAGGAACAATATGGCTCAATCATTTAAGTTCTAAAGATTAGAGCACGGGAGATAAGGGAACAAAAAAAACCCCATGGGGTACAGTTGTACCCCGCGCGCCTAAAAGTATAACAGGATTTCGCAGCTGGTCGTTTTTCTTCTTTCGCTGGTTCTGTAATAATTATTTATGTAGTAACGACTTATTATGTTTTCCGTGTGAAATACTGGCACTTAGCTTCGTTAATATTTAATTTTTTAAAAATATTTATTAAATTTCAGTGAATTTCATTCTAAAAAATAGTAGAAGTAGAGTTTAACAGTCGTCAATTGGCCTTCTAGCTTCAAATTTTCCAAAAAGCTTTTAACAGGGATCTAAACTAGTTCATGTCGATGCAACTAATTTAAATAAACGGGAATTATTCAAAGCATATTTACTATATAAGAAGCGAGAAGTAAACTCTTGAATATTTGGCTACGCTTGTGTCATAATTATTTATCATTAACTTTTCAGTTTCTATTGACGACAGGTGATAACAAAAAATACTGAAAGTATTACATTGTTTTACATGACAAAAAAAGTTGATATTCTATATCAACTATTCCGTAGAAATGATGTCTCAATAAATATTTGTTATTGAATTATGGTTCTTTTTTTCCAACCATTGAAATAAGTATACAATTAATGCTATTGCAATTTTCAAACGCAATAATATCAATAAGGATATGAAAAGACTTGGTTCTGTGATAATCGTAACGAATAAAAAATATATATTTGTAGAATTATTAAAATATTTAAAGAAAGAAATTAATTAGATAAAAAAATCGTTTGGCCATAAAAGAAATTAATTTTAAATTATCGTTTGCCTGAAAAAGAAATTAAATAAAAATATCGTTTGGCATTAATTCTTTTCTAAAAGTTTGGAAACGATATTGTCTTTTGCTAACGTTGCCTAGCAACGGAAAAGAATAATGATGATTGGAGATGGAATTCGATGTCAGTGAGTGATGTAACGTTTGTGATGTAAATGTATGTATTTGTTTTACATGTTTTGTGCTGTGGAAAACGTCCGATAAATGTATTATTTTTGATAAAGAAGGTTCCACGATTCTTCATAATATACTGAAATATATCACAGACCCATCAAAAATTTCAGTTTCATAATAATTATACTTCAAATTTTATGCAGATCTGCCCAATGCTCGCCTTCCGATGGAATTAAAGAGAACATAAAATATTTTGTTAGGAACCAACGGTATAGGAACTAAAAACAACAAAGTCAAGGAGTAATAAACGTAGATGGAAATATTGTGGGAGAAATGGGGACAGAACTAACCGAAAATGTGGTAAAAAATGCAGTAATTAAACCTGTAGTGAGCATTTACAAGAAGTGTATGTAAAATGTTGCAATGTCTTTCTTGCATTTTTTAGAGGCATCCTTTTGTCTCCAAATTTGCTTCCAAGTTTGGGGCTCATTGGTTTGGCCTTCGGTGAAAACCTCTGTAAAACACTCTTTCCTGCCATGAGACTCACATAGCAAGGAAACAGTATTTCAGATTCGTAACATTCCTACACACTGACAGACACTTCTTAGACAGATGTAGTTCCAAATTTAACCCAAAACTAAACGCATGAAGAGAAAATCACATGTCAAATTTCATCCATCTAGTTGAGAGCGTATTTGATTTATTGTGTTTATATTCACACGGGCGGACAGACAGTTATATTCACAAACCAGACCGACCGACTGTCAACCCATTGATAGATTTGGTCCAAACTTTAACCCTTTTGCACTGAGTGAGGCGGTCCTGGTAATCTAAAAATTTCCCCTTAGCAGCTACGAAGGCCGATGTGAGGCGATTAGCTTCTTTTGAGGGGAGGGGAGGTTCTGAGATCGCTTAGGTGATAAGGGCAGAAGGGGGTCCAATTATCCTTGCCAACCACTGCCCATTTCTGTGCGCTTTAAGGGAAGGTTATAGCAGGGGATGGGGTAGTGGCGTAAATGACCCCCAGGTTGGGCGAGTCCAATTCATGTCGCTTCCTGCCAAAAACTTCCGGTTTCAAAGGGGCTAGAAGAAAAAAAGTCGCATCGGGATTAAAGAGTTAACCCAAAAGTAATCGTATGAAGGGAAAATTACATGTCATATTGTATCCATCTAGCTCAGAGCGGTTTCGATTTATTTTGTTTATATTTACACGGGTGGACAGACAGTCATACTCACAGTTGATAAAACCAGACCGACCGACGGTCAACACATTGACAGATTTGGTCTAAAATTTAATATCTATAATTCTGATGATAAAACCGTATGCCAACCAAATTTCATTCATGTAGGTGGTTCCATTTTTGAGTTATTGTGTTTACGTGAACAGGAATGGCTAGACCTACTTCCTCCTGATGGGTTTCGTCCCAATTTATATTATATTGCCCATATAGGATTTCGGTGAGAAGATCGTGTACCAAATTTTACCGTATGTCAAATTTCATCCATGTAGGTGGTTCCATTTTTGAGTTATTGTGTTTACGTGAACAGGAATGGCTAGACCTACTTCCTCCTGATGGGTTTCGTCCCAATTTATATTATATTGCCCATATAGGATTTCGGTGAGAAGATCGTGTACCAAATTTACTTGAACAGGAATGGCCAGACACACTTTCTCCTGATGGATTTCGTCCCAATTTGCATTATAATAACCATATAGGATTTCGGTGAGAAGATCATGTACCAAATTTTACCGTATGCCAAATTTCATCCATGTAGGTTGTTGCATTCTTGAGTTATTTTATTTACTTGAACAGGAATGGCCAGACACACTTTCTCCTGATGGATTTCGTTTCAATTTGCATTATATTGCCCATATAGGATTTCGGTGAGAAGATCATGTACCATATTTTACCGTATGCCAAATTTCACCCATGTGGGTTGTTGCATTCTTGAGTTATTTTATTTACTTGAACAGGAATGGCCAGACACACTTTCTCCTGATGGATTTCGTTTCAATTTGCATTATATTGCCCATATAGGATTTCGGTGAGAAGATCATGTACCAAATTTTACCGTATGCCAAATTTCATCCATGCAGGTGGTTGCATTCTTGAGTTATTGTATTTACGCGAACTGGAATGGCCAGACACACTTCCTCCTGA